CCTGATCAAATTACGGTAAATCTGAGAAATGTGCTGAAAACCGTGGAGCCACCACACAATGAGTACCCTGAAGCAAAGAGGGAAAAGCTCTGGAACAGTGGCTTCAAAGCAAAAGGAAAAGTTAAACAGTAAGCCTCATAGTCACATGGCTTTGCTTGGCTCAAAGACACACCTAACCAGTGCAGTGTAAGCAGTCTCCAAAGTAACCAATGGCAGGCAAGGCCCAAGAACATATGTGGGTTCCAAAATTGGTTATTCAGGTCTATAAATCATCCGATCATGTCTTATTATAGTTTATATTTTTTAAATCAATACCCCATTATACATGCTGTTATTATTAATAGATAATAATTACCCCAAACTGACTGGTTTAACACTGAATTAACCAATTAAACCTTTACACATTTTGTCATATTATTACCAAAATATTACCACCCTTGACAAAAAGATATTAAATTGGTCAAAATGTTAACTCATATCAATAATTTGAAAACCTTTTGGACCTTTTAAGTATCAGTAAAGTATTTTACTCCCCCCTCCCCCACACACACACAGTATTTCCCATTTACCACAGTACAATGCTATCTAATTAATCAACAAATCAATCATTATAAGAAAGTATGAATGCTCCTCACCATATTCAAAGAACTACTGGAATAGGAGGGCTTAAACTATAAATGTGATTCAAAGAAACTTAAATAGAGGCTGAGAAGAAGCTGCAGAGAGACAACAATCGATCATTGCTTAGGATACACACCTCCCAGCAGGTGTTGTATGAAACTTGTCATTATCTAACAGAAGAACAGCAGCAATCACCACAAAAGGGAAGGACCCTGAGCCACAAAGTTATTAAGGCTAACAATTTTCTTTCCAACAGTATAATCCAGTCAGTGTATAGCAATTTTCTTCAGTAATGAAAGCTTTCAGTGCAATCAGAGTGAAAAGAAATCAATTTAGATATGTACTATTAAACTAAAAATCGTATGTGATGTACAGTAACTAGCTGCAATCCTTACGTTTATCCCTTCCACATTATAAATGTCATTTTAAGCGCAATAAGTTGCTTGTATTCAAATGCATAATTGTGCAGTTTAGCAAAGCATATGATGGTGTTTGTAGACTGCCTTTGAGGAGTAAGGTAGCATTTTACATACATGCAGAGCAAAGAGAAGAAAACCACAACAGCTGTGAGGACTCTTAAGTAACTGACAGATCTCCAGAGAAACTCAGTTTCCAGAACTACAATATCATATGTGAGAATCATCCGAGTACAGACTTTAGTTTTTCTTTTATTATTTTTTTTCTGCCAAAGTTCAAACTGAATCCTAAATGCATAAATGCATCACCAAGTTAAAAACATTTACTAAAAAAAGGAAAGCATGCAGACCTGTACAACAATGTTATAATCATGAGCAGAGAAGGCACACTGTAGTATAATCTATTTCAAATCTGACCACAAACCACAACTAAAATTCAGACTGTGCACTTTAACACATTGAAATAAAATATGCAAAACTAAATTGTGAACTTTGGCAACCGCTGTAACATATACTACAGCACATCCAAGTCAAGGACCAAAATAAAAGCATTGTCAGAAGTAGTGCAAAGCTGACTACTTGCATTGCAAATATTTGAATAAAATCAAACCCAAAAACATTTTTTGCTAGCAAATTGTAGAGAAGAGAATAATAATACATTATACAATTAAAATCCTTTAGAAAAACCTCTTTATCCTCAATTTGCCTGAAGTATGCACTTGAGGACATGAATGTATTTGGATTTTGAACTGTTAACGAATATAAAACAGAACTAAACTATAGTTACATGCTATATATGCTCAAGCACGAGTGATATAATTAACCAAAGGGATCAGTACTGGAACCAATATTCTTCGTAATTTATAGAAATATAACATACCAAAACAGGACAATCATCAAACCCGATAGAAACTGCAAAGACAGTTATATATATATACACTTTTCAAGTAAAACATGGTAGCTGATGTTTTATGTACCAAGTGTCATACAACTGGCAAAAACTATAGCATAATATAAAAAAAGAAGCAGTGAGCTTGAAAAGGCAACTTGTAAAAAAGATTGTCAACATAAACTCTTACGTTTATGTGGGGAAGCAAAAATACATTTGAATATAGTTTAAAACGTAGTATTAAAATCAATGGATGTTATTTTAAAGTTGTACAATATAATAGTAAGACCTCATTTTGACTATTATGTACAATTTTGCTCACCACAAAACAAAAAAAAAAACCTTGCTAAGCTGGAATCAGCCCGAGTCAGAGCAACCAGGCACATTCCTGTGCACAAAAGGACTGAATCTTTTTAGTTCTGAAAATGAGGAGATGTGATTCAAGCGTTTAAAATCTTCAAAGGCTTTAACCTAGTCAACCTTATGGACTTCTTCAGAATCAAAAGGCCAGAGGCTAGAGGACACAAATGGAAACGAAGGCAAAATGCTTTTAAAACCCTGTAAAGGGGAACTTATTTACTCAGCAGAGGGGTGGCTTTATTACATTCTTATAAACTAGTTTTTTTTCTTTCACTCTTAGTTTTCATCTTTGAGTATTAATATGCTTTAATTTAACTGCATACAAAAAAGATAATTACTTGGTACCGATATTACTTTGGGCTACCTCATTCTTTGACTTAATTAAACAGTACTAAATGGTTCCAACATGCAATTAAAAAACACCAGGAAAAATGTGACTCAAGCAAAATCAACAGAAACAGGATCACAAATTCAATAAGCATGAAATATTCCCATATTTAATATTGATTGCCAATATTACAAGACACTTTGTTAATACTATATAGCAGGTCTGGTAAAGTAACTTGCCATGTTCCATCCTTGATCCTTTGTCAGAAAACTGCTTATTCTTGGCAGGGATGCTTGTCATTCAGAGGGTACATCTAACACAAGCATACTGGTACAGTTTGGAGACATCACTTAACCAGTCTCCTTTAACGGAATCATCTAGCCCTTTCAAATTGATGGTAGTTTAATTAGTTGCGAGCAGTCCCAATAGATTTTGTATGATTTGTTCTTTTTACAAAAATAAGCATTCTGGAGAGTGACTGTAAATGATTTCTGAATATAAGACAGGAACAACAGGTGCCTGTCATTCCCAGAGTTCAGAGACTCTAGACCAGAAGCCTCAAAATCAGTTCCCAAAATGTCCAGTGTCCACTGTTTTTGTTGCACCTGGGTTCTCGGCTACTTAGTTGGACAAATTATTCAACTACAGAATATTAATACTTCTGCTAAATTTATTAGGTCTTTTATAGATAATTGTACTTTCAATTAAGTAAATTCTTTCAATAATTCACTATAAACAAACTTAAAAATATGTCTAAGTAAGCAAATAATTGTATTAATTGCTTAATTAACTGCTAAAGAACAAACACCAGAAGACACCAGGCCACCAAAGTGTCAATTTACAAACTTGCATTAATTCAGTTCAAATTCCTATTAGTCGTATCACGTGTCATGTCAGTAGTACAATTCCTGTTATTACTGCTTTTCCTCAGGTAAAAAATAAACTTAAGCCTGGAAAACAAAATGTTAGTCCTTTCAGTGAAATCTTCCATTTAGCACATAACTGTAAATACCGGGTGTATTATTAAAAGGTATTTTACTTGCAGTGATAAGATCTTTATCTCATGATGACTTTGGCAAAATGTCTTTATGTAATGGATTTGATAGCTCTACAGGTATTACTTACTATCAGACTGAGAGTCATGTACTGCCTTAAGTAAAAAAAAAAGATCATGGATCACAGAAAACAAAACATGTAGCAAATTGCACACTTGAGCAGATAAAGTGGGTCAGTGTCAATCCCACAATATAGGTTTAAACTAGCATTAGCTAATCTATTTTAAGGTAATGGAAAAAATTAAAAAGTCTCCTACTGATGAGTGTTATTGTTTGACACTTTAAGGCACTTGGACAACTTTATATTTTGTCATTTAGACTGGACAATGCAGTGGCCTCTCCATACCATTCAAAATGTGGAGTTAACAGCACTTACTTTCTTTGGGCTGCACTGAACATGTAGCCTGGGTATTTTTACCAAAAGATTTTCATCTTGGACCATGAAAAGCCCAGAAATAAAATGAAAAAACATCACCAACCAATAAGAGTGCACAAAGTGAACAAAAAATGCTCAAGAAAGGAATGAACCTTTTTTGTCCTACACAAAGCTTGTTGTAACTGATGAAGTACAATTGTATATTTTTACTGTATTTTCTTTTCCATTAAAAGTATAATTTCAGGCCTAGATGAACTCAGAAAACAAAATAAAATACTAAAAAAACATGCCTGGCACGTTCAGAAACTTAAAAGGTACAGCTTGAAAGGAATTACCTAAAAACTGCATAGCTGTTCTATGAAAGCTATTGAGAAGTTTTTGCATTTGCAATTTCAAAACGACCTTACAACCTAACCTGTAACAATATCCATCCCATGATGGTGAACTGGCAAAATACTGTTCACTAAATAATATGAACCCGCCCAATGAAACCCTTCCTTTCAAATTAGATTCTTCAATACAAGACAGGGACTATTTAACTTTTTATTAGAGGGATATAAGTAAAAGGATTGGGAGATGTGTTTCACAACGACAAATTCGGTAAAGCAATCAACTATTCAGAAAAGGTGTGCCATTCAATTCAGTTTCCCTCGTACTTGGGTTACATGTACAAAGAGATATCCAGCTCCAGTCCACGAGTTTCAGAACCCCTCAGGAAACTAGAACAACTGGATTGTTTCGGAATACAATGTCGCCAGATGTCAAGAGAATAATTTACCTGCAGAACCTCAGTGGTTTCAGGAATTCCACAGCGTGGGTCTTATTCCCCCGGTGGCAGTGACTGTATTTTCAAAGCTGAACCCCCCCTTTCTCCACTGATCTGTCTAACTTCCTAGTACTGCCATTGCATTTGTTCTATGGTATATGACTACAGCAATATAAACACGAAACTTACCCATACTGTCCTTTAGCGCAGGACTTCCTCGCTTTCTCTGATGTTCGCAATCCCCGCTACGTATGTATTTCACGATTTTAGAATAAACCTGTTAATTTTTCTTCGCTTGCTGTATATCGCAACGCAAACCCATTCGTCTTTAAGGCAATGGAAGTAAGAGACAAGAACCGAGGCAGGTTTTTTTTTTTAAGAAATTACAATGGAAGTCATTCCCAAGTCTCCACCTTCCTAGACTTGCCTTTAAACTCTTATTGTCACACATATACAAAACAGGAGAAACTCCGCGAGATTTGAAAGCGAGAATCCCGCGAGAGGTCCACACTGGAATGCAGCCCGTGGAGCTGCTCCAGTGGGAGAAGGAAGAAGGATGTTCTCAGGCTAGTCGAGCGTTGTTCGACTCCTCCTGCGCAGCATGCTGCTTACTTAAAAGACGTCATACCGCTTACCGTGGCAGGAACAGGAAAAATTCCCTGTATCTGCCATTATAAAAGGACACAGCTTTGACAAATGCGTTTCTTGGAGGATAAAACAAAAATACTGTATCAAATATAACACTGACAACACAACATCTGCAATTCCAAACTGTTGAAAAAACGTGTTTAATGATTTCGGTCCAGAAATCCTACTGGGTTTCTTTTTTTTTTTTGAGTGTGTTATACAGAATTGTTTTGATTCAACAAGTCCGGTGGGTTTTATAGTATTAATGTAGAGAACTGAATTCTGAACAAATGCAGTCATTTAGCTAACGAGAAATCGTTATATACGTATTTATTTGGAAAGAAAAAAGGGATAAAAATAAGTTACAAAGTTTAAATGATAGGGTATTACATGAAAAAACGTTTTGTACTATTACATATTGCAGTTTTTTTCTTTGTGTTCTGAAATAAGCTATAGTGAAGTTTAGTTATTTTAAGACGACTCACCACTTTGCATCTCGGAATTTTGACTTGTAAAATGGTGCTTCACAAGTAGTAGTAATAAACTTTTAATTTTTCTTAGATTAATTTTCTGAATAAGAATAATTTTCTTAATAATAGGTTAACAAGGTTATCTTTGCCTGTTACAAATATACGGTAACCAGCAACTCATCCAGTCATCTTACTGTAAATATAATAAGTTTCTATTTAAAAGGTTACAACAATGGGGCAGGAAAAGAAGAGACAAATAGACTGTCACAGAGACTGTCACTTACAAAATGAACATTTAGGTTTGAAAAGTAGAGTTTTGCAAATAAAACTCTTAAGAGAGAACTGGATATATTATACATTTGAATTGAGTTTTGCTTTGTTTGGGATACAGAATGTACAAGGGGTTAAATATGCTTCATACTAATTTGCTGTATGTCCTAGTCAGGAGTTATGTTTCTACTGTATTACAGTGTTAATGATGTAAGGGTCTATTCGTGAAAATTGATTATAGGGGAGCAGGCAAATAAATGTAATAATTACTAATTGCTGTTTAACAATTTCTGCACCTGTTATACAACATGTGATTATAGTTCTCATTAAAATACGATTATCTCAAATTAATTATTGATGTGTTTTGTTCTGGTTAATATAAGAATCTTTTTCTAAATTCAAGATTTTAATCTTGATGCAATCTGACGATTTATCAAAATAGAATTGTCAAGACATTAAGTATAAAATACACTTTTGCAATTTTGAAATCTCTTTCTTAAAATGCATTTGTATATACTGTAGTTTGGGAAGGTACAATCTATGAAGGGCATTAAACAGTATGAGAATATTAAGTGAATATAGGTCTTGCAAACCAGACCTTTAACCTTGTTTGGAATTCTAATACTATGAATAATACAATTAATCACAAAGGGTCTTTTAACTGTCACTGTCAAAAGTTTTTAAAGCCACCAGTAACTTGGTTAAATTTATGTAATAGCTGGACTTAAGCATTTACTGTTACATTTTCTAGGTAATGTGCCTTCATTTTAGTAGTCCTTTATGTGGATTTAAAGTTATGTGATTCAATCTGCAGTGGTTCAGATTTTACCAAAATATTAACATCTGAAATTATGTATTTTTATGTATCAAATAAAGACGAGATGAAACAGTCTGCCTTGGCATCACCAGTTAGGTCTATCCGTCACAAGAAGTTTCGTCCCCTAACCCGGTACTTCTTCAGGATAGCGGGACAGCAGTGATGATCAGCTACTGCTTGCCTGTGGGAACCATAGTGGTTCATCCATGTACCAGAGCCAGCATGAGGCTTTTTCTGCTGCCTCCATCATCTGTTGCACCACAGACGTTCTATCTTTGCCACTGATCCCCAGCTCTCCCAGCATTCTCCAAAGTGACTGGGCTAGGAAACCACGGCATCCTACCTCAACTAGAAATGACCAGACTTTCCACCCTTTGGTTCAGATGTTGTCCACAAGCTCAGCGTACCTGGGTTTTTTTCTCTCAAAAGCTTCTTTGCACCTCTCTTCCCAAGCAACTGTCAGTTCAATGAGGATTATAACCTTTCTCTGGTGGACGACATGACTACATCTGGTCGCAAGTTTGTCTTGACTATGTCTGGAAATACAAGTCGCTTGTCTAATCGACCTCCATTGACCAATCTCTGCTGTGTCTTTGAAGGATGCCGACAGGTCTAATTCCAGCAAGTGCTGTGCTCTTTTCTCCAGCCTTGATAAAGCTAATATTGGAACATGCTGATTTTATACAGTACCTTTTCTAAATATATCCAAATTTAAGGCTAGTGCCCTGAGTACCTTATCATGATGCCACCGATACCTGCCTTCCCCTTGTGCCACACTGCAGGCTGATAACACACGTTCAAGGTTGCCTGTTCTTCCACACAGTGTGCAGCTGGGGCTTTCAGTTAGCCCACATCTATGGAGGTTACTTGGAGTGGGTGAGACATCATAGACTGAGTGCAATAGAAATTGAATCCGCAAAGGCTCAAGTTTCCAAATGTCCTTCCATGCTAGCTTTCTATCTGTTGTTTCCCATCTTGTCCATGCTCCCTGTTTTCCCAACTGTATCTCTTTTGAACTGCGAACCTCTTCTTCCTTCTTTCTTATCTCTTCTTGAATCAAGCTGCTCTCCTCAATTTTCTTTTTGTACTTACTTGCAAAGCCCAGACCTTGACGGCCGACAGTTGGCTGCACAATAATTTTTTTTATATTTAAATTATCAGTAAATTATATTCCAGGATAATCAATGATTCCTAATATCCAGGATAGGATTATGGATTCTATAGCACTGCTTTCTTAACAATACAATGGTAAATTTACGTAAAGTTTTGCTTTTGCTGTTTTAACAAGTTTATGACACCTTTTACCAAACAGCAAATTTCCAAACTTTCCAACTTTTACTAAATAGAAAACAGTTTCTGATTAAATGTGCTGTATTGTCTAAATTATATTTGCTTCATTTTTAAGAAGAAATTTAAACTGGTTCGCAACAAAGAAAACTAGGTATTGGCTTCCTGTTTATGATACAATGTTCTCCATTAGTAAGTGTAATAAATATTGTACATTTCAGAGGAAACATTCATGCTGCTAATCCCTGCAAGTAGTTAGCAGGTTCTCATCTGAAAGAAAAAATGAAGTTTGACAATACATACTCTAAATCTACAGCTCTAGACACCTGTAGTATAGGTATATTATCTTAAATTAGTGAATTCAGTAGAATGCCTTAATAACAACTTGCAAGAATATTCAAGAGTCCTAAAATAATTATTTAACAAAGTTAGTTTAACAAGCTATTGCATAATACATTTGTCAATAACCTTGTTGAAGTTTCTGTATTGTTACAAACAAGGGGGGAGAGGAAATAAAATAATTAAACCCAAGTGGTATGTGCTGTAACATAACAACATGTGACACAGAAGTTTTGGCACATTAGTTCTTTATTAATGACACAGCTCTGGTGAAAGAGTAATACATTCAGTCAAACTTGATAGACAGGACAGAGCAACAAAACAACTACTCAACTGACAAAACTTTAAACAACATTTAATATTATGTACTACAGATAAAGAAATCCAGAATGGTAGCACTATAGCCTGAAATCCTATACAATACCTTGCCAAAAAGAGAAATACTCTTTGTACTCAATAAAAAAATGCGAAAAGACTAAATCTTCCTATAACATGGATGCCCAAAAGTGAATGGGAATTTCTCTCACTATTCTAAAAATGGATAATGAAACTTACTTCAGACTGTCTGTTTAGGCCTTGAGTAGTTCAATAAAAATGTGAAGTGTAAACTATAGATTTTATGACCTATTAATCTGTAAAAGAATCAGTGTTTACATTTAAAACTGTATGTGCTCAAACAAAATTGTTCCATTTTATTTAGCATATTTTAATGGAGGTTAGTTCATAATTTTGTATCGTCATAGTTTAGTTTGTTCTGAAGTCAAGTGGGCAGTTGTTAGTGAGTTCTCTTTATTTGCTGGGAAAATGAGAGTCCAAAAGAGTCCTAAATCACTTCCAAGAAGGTGAAGTGGTCTCTTTTCTTTGTAACATTGCTTTTATCTATGTATATCAGTCATTCTAATGCACAAAATATTTTTTTTCTTTTCCAGGTTTGATTACTGTATTGCATTGTTTGCTGATAGACCAAACATGTTCTTAACAAGCAGCAGCATGTTCAGAACTAAGCTGCTGGGATCTTAACTAGAATAAAATGCATGAGCCTACAGTATATGCCCGGTTTGAGCTTCTTTGCACTGGCTCCCTTTGGATTTCAGAATATAGTTCAAAATACTGTGGCTCCTGACTATAACAATGAACTGTGAACTCCCCATTCACAGACGCATCATTTTGATTCTTGGGATTCTGAACATTTATCAAAATTTCCCAAAGTAAAGCTCCAAACCCCAGCTGACAATGCTTTCTGTTCTGTTGCTCCAAGACTATGGAATGCCCATATTAGATAAAGATTTTATTTTTATTCAAGTTTATTTGTATAAACTATCTTTTAATTCTGTTGTAATTTTAATTCTTTTAATCTTTTAATTCTAATTGTACTGTATTAATGTATTCCTTTCTGTATTATTTTCCCTCTTGTTCTGTTGTAAAGCACAATAAGATGATATCTTGCTATATAAGTAAAGAATAATATTTTAGATGTCAAATTCCATGAAACAAGCAAGGGACTCTTCCATGAAGTCTAAACATTGTGCAGGTAAAAATCATCTTTAAAATTGTTTTCCCTGCGAAAGTGAGCATTGTTCTCTGCCACCGGAAATTAAAGGTAGGTTCAATTAATAAAATATTATTTAAAGATTAATGTAGGAAGTACATTTAGCCTATAAATATTTTGTTAGAGTTCATTATGGTACTTTAAAACACATATTTGGCTGTTAGCCAA